TAATTAGGATCACAACAGTGGCATTATGATACTTGCAGATCTCGAGGTTGTGGAAGGTTCAAGCAGTTTTTGCAAGGGAGCTCTGGAAATGGTGCCTCTGACACCATGGAACTTGTCCCCCTGCCTGCAAGCCCAAGGGCAGTACTGGCGGGGGGAGCGGGTTTGGAGGTGGCTGGTGGGGCAGAGGATGCTGTGACCTCATCTGCCCCAGGCTAGTTTGGCTCAGCTAGCCTAGCCCTCCTTCCAGCCCCGGTCACATGTGCAGACATGTTGCACACTGTGGCTCCAGTAGTTCCCAGTTGCTTTCCTGCTTCTGCAGAGCAGAGTCCAAGCCAGGAAGAGACAGATAATGGGAAAACCACCTGCCTGGCTCAGGCTGCTGCATCTCCCACGCCAGAGCCGCACTGTGGCTGCCCAGAGCAGTAGCTGCCAGGGAGGGAGGCCCGGAGGATCACTCTTGCCTCAGTAGCAGCATAAGGTATCACTGGAGAAAGGGGCTGATGCTTAGGTTGTTGCAGGGTGGGTGAAGGTCCCTTCCTAGGGGCGAGGGCTGTAGCAGCCCCGTTGTTCTCCTGCCTGCTTTATCCCTGCTGCGCAGCAGTGCTTTTCCAGCTGCGCCTTGCGTGCAGCTGAGGGGTGGGGATGCCCCGTGCCCAGGTGGGCAGTGCCTGCTGCAGACCTTTGGCCCTGCTCCCTGTGGGTGAAGGGAGGTGGCCAGGAGGCCCAGTGGGCCTTACCCAGCATCTTTCCTGTTCACAGAACACCGCTCAGCATCTCATCAGTGCTGGGCCCTCAGCCCACATTCCTCAAGCTCACCCCAGCCCCTCTCTGGCCTCCAAGGTACTTCCCCTGCCCCTTGAGGCTCGTTTTCGTCTCTTCTAGGAACCCAGTGCTCCATCCCTGTTCCTTGCCAGGTGCCAGCACCTCTCTGTGGGTGCTGCCCATAGCGTGAGTGTCTGTGCGAAGCCCTAGGGCACTTCTGGTCCCTGCAATTGGAAGCACATGTAGAGTTTCCATGCATGTGGCCCTGTGTGGTTTGCCACAGCTGGAGCTTGTTGCCTGCCTGAAGCTGTGCAGTTGCACCCTGCGGGGCCGGGGGGCCAGCAGGGGAGCTGGGGGAAAAGGGCAGCCGTTGGGGGGTGGGGGACATGTGGCCCAGTGCAGCAGAGAAGGTTTAGAGGGAAGAAGCCCAGCATCCCCTCACACCCAGCCAAGCCCTGTCCCCCAGCCTTGGTGGGAAGAGCTTTCCACTGTGCCACAGGAAGGCTTCTGAGTCACACGGAGGTGGCTGCTGTCAGGGCTGGGAGTCACCTGTCCCATAAGTGAGGGTGGTGCCGGAGCACGGGTCAGCCCAGCTGGAGGTGGCCCTGGATGCGGCCCCTTCCCAGGACCCTGTGGGGAAACAAAGACTTGGGATGTGCAGGGAGGTGTGGGGGCCCTGATGGCACCTGCGTGACCAGCTGCAGGGCAGAGCACAGTTCCTGCTCCCAGGTCATATCTGGCTGTTCCTATGCTGCATTGCGCTCCCAGCCATGCATCCCTTGCTGCTTCCTCGTCCTGCACCCAGACATGCAGCCCTTCCCATGCCCTGGCCCTTACCCTGTCCCACCACATATGGGGTGGCCCACCTTCCCATTCCTGGCTCCCTGCTGCCTCAGACCCAGGCAGCCACCCCGGCCCGTGTGGCACCCGCCCAGCAGCCGCAGCCTGGAGGGACCCCCACGTTGGCAGGGGGGCCTGGGGTGCTGGGCAGTGTGCGCTGCCAGAGTGCTGCAGCCCACCCAGCTCTCCAGCTGGTTACAGCTTTGGGCAGGGCCTTAAATGGGATGAGATTTGCAGGAGATTATTTCCTGGATCTGTCTGGCCAGCAACGATTAGGTTGCCCTGACAGAGCTAATTACTCTAACAAGCATCTGCTGTTCGTCTGACTTAGCTGGACTGCAGCGGGCAGGGGACAGGAGAGCCTGAGCATCCAGTGAAGCTGCCAAGGTGTCCTGGGTGGAGCTCTGCATGCCCTGGGGATGCTCGTCTGCCATTTCTGCAGATGGAGGAAAGCGTGCCTCCTCCTCTGGGCAGTCGGGATTACCCGAGGTCAGGCAAAGCCAGGGGAGAACAGTAATGTCAAGGTCCCTCCTGCTACAAGACCCCCTTATTCAGCCACAGAGCAGGGTGCATGCCCGGAATGCACTGGCATTGCTGTTGCTACTGGTCAGGGAGCTGGAAGGTGTTGGCTTATGTGAAAAAGCAGCATAGAGAAATGGTGGCGCGCCGAGGAACCCCAATAACCCCCTCAGAGAAGGGAATGCCCCTCCCAGCTCTGCCCAGGCTGTCACTGGCTCGTGATCAACCCCGTGGTCTGAGGGTGGCACCGGTCAGAAGTGAATGGGAGCTGCTCCCCCAGTCATGCCAGGGATGAAGGGGCCCTGCCTAGGAGTACAGGACACGGTATGAGAGGCAAAACGCAGAGCATTTTAGGATTGTGCAAGACTTATTATGGGGTGTTTAGCAGAGGAACTAAAAGGTAAGGAAAGAGAGGGATCAAGGTGGTTTGGGGATGGACAAAAAATGGGAGAACAGGGAAGGGAAATACTCACACCTCACGTGGTGGCCTGAGCTATGGCTAAGGCCAGGAGGCAGGTTGGTGGTGCCAGCACAACGCGAGCCCCGAGCAGCAGTGATGATGTCCAGCTTCGTACAAACAAGTGTGGTTTATTAAGGCATTTCTTTGAGAAGTTGGCACTTGGGTCCAGGCTGTGCTGGAGAGGCCCAGTGTGCAGGCCAATGAGCAGCGCCCAATACATGCAGCTCAGCGAGACACGATACAAAAGGTACAAACAAAGTAGAAAACAGGAATTGTAGTACAATGTGTAAAAATAAATAACTGGAGGCTCGGCTCCTGGCTGGGCTCAGCAGACTGTGGCTGTATCCCCCCAGACCAAAGCGGGGCTGCTGTGTGCCTGACCCTTCTATCTGGCATGCGGGGGGGGGGGTGTGTGTGTGACCTGTCCATGTCCCCATGTCCCCCTGTCCCAGACATGCAGGGGCGAGCAGGGCTGCTTGGCCACCCTGGCCAGCAATGGGCTCGGGGAGCATGTGGCACCCTCAGCGTGGTCCCCATGGTGCCCATCAGCAGGACAGCCTGGCCAGGACAGAAGGGATGAGGGGTGCCTGTCCCAAGAGCCTCCACGGGCTGTCCCTGGGCTGAGCAAAGCAGAACCCATCCTCCCCTCCCAGACCTGCCTTGGGTCCTCTGTCCTTCCCAGGCAGCTCAGGCATGGCCCTGCAGCCCCCCTGGTGCCACCGTCACTGCTACAGATCCCCGTCCTGTGTCGCTGCCCTGTGCCCAGGACAGCTCCCAGGGCTGGTGGCACCAGGGACCCACTCATGCGTGCATCGTGGGGATCAGGGTGCAGCACCATCCCTGTGGCGTGGGGACACCCACAGTGGCACAGAGGACAATGACAAAAATGAAGCTGCAGTCCCAGATGGTCCTTAGTGGGAAATGGGGAGGGAGTGGGCAAAAGTGATGGGTTTTGGCTGCTGTGATAAAACATCTGGGGCTGGGGGTTGCAGCCGTGGTGCTGACATGCTTTGGGCTGAGGCTACAGAGTGGGTCTACGAAAAGTGTGATAGGAAGGAGATTCCCCCAGGCCCCCTCCTCAGATGGCTGGGTGTCCTCCCTGGCACCACAAGCATGCTCACGCCCAGCTGACTGCGTTTGCAGCTGCTGCGGTGCTCCGCATGCCCTCACTCTGCACCCATGTCTGCATGTGGGTCACAACGACCGTGAGCACCCAGGGCTCCAGCAGCCACGCGATGCGCGCCCGCTCCGCTGCGAGCAGCCTTGGGCTGCGGGGCAAGCGCTGGCTGGGGGCTGACCCCAGCGTGAGCATGACCCCCAGCTGCAAGGCTGGCTGCATGCGTGGTGCTGGAGTGAGGATGGGGACCAGCCCCATTGAAGTGTGGCTCTAGCCCCTGCTCACAACATGGCATGAAGGAGTGGTGCAGAGCGGCCCCTGCACAGGCGGCTGGGGCCCAGGGGCTGGGGGTTCTGGCACCTACTCATGTTTTGGGGGTGTCCTGGTGGCCCACGCTGTCCTGGTGCACGTGGGGCACAGCAGGGCCC